TTTTTATTTAAATAGTAATCATCCTAATGAATGTGAAATAGTTTGTCGTTGTAGTTTTGATTTTCATTTCCCTGATGGATAGTGATGTTAAACATCTTTTCATGTAGCTATTGACACTTGTATATCTGTATATCTTTGCAGAAATGTCTATTCAAGGGTTTTCCATGTGCTTAAATGAGGTCATTTGTTTTATTTTTATTTTAAAAAACTTTTATTTTAAAAGTTTGTTTTTTTTTTTTCAACAGAATGCATGCACTCACTAGAGAGAGACAGAAGAAAAGCGAAGGGGCCAGGCAGGTGGCTTGGTGATTAAGGGAGCTGCACTCCCGCATGATTCAATTCCCAGATCTGGGGGGAATTGCTTTCTCATTTTCCCTCTCTTTCTCTCACTCTGATCCTCCTGGTCAAATTAAAATAAATAGATAATTTTTTAAAAGTTAAATAAAATAATTTTTTAAAAAGAAAAAAGTGAGAAACACTCACCATGGGGAATGGTCATGCCATGTTCCCTTCTTCTCCATTTCTCCCTCTTTCCAGGATTTTGGGCATGCATGCAGATGCGCCTAGTGTATTTCTCAAGCTGCTAGGTCCAGGACTTAAACTGCACAATTGGCCATGTGGGATCCAAGTTCCTTAACCACCATGCCATGATTGACCCAGGTTGTCTGTTTCCTTCTTTAAAATTTGCTATAGGGGGGACCAGCAGTTAGCATAATGGCTATGTCACTGGACTCCCACGTAGTCGACCACGGTTCGCGTCCCGGACCCGGTGGCTTAAAACTCACGCTGGGCGCGTGTGCGTGCGTGCCCAAGATCCCAAGAGGAGAATGGAGGAGAAGGGATTGCGGCATGGCCATCCCCCATGGGGGTGATTTCTCGCTTTCTATCTCTCTGTCTCTCTCTGTCTGTCTGGCGAGCGCACGCGCCCTATAGCAAAAAACCTTTCACATGCTATAGGGCATGTGTGCTTGCTGGTGAGATGCAGAGAGAGAGAGAAAGTGAGAAAGCATCCTCCAGGAAGGACTGCCACACTCTAATTCCTCTTCTCCATTATCCTCTCAGGATTTGGGACATGCCTGTGTTTTTCAAGCTTCTGGGTCCAATATTTGAGCTGAGCAGTTGGCCATGTGAGACCCAGCCACTTCAACCTCCATGCCACCTGCTGACCAGATAATGTCATTTGATGCATATATTTTTAAATTTTCAAGTCAAGGGACCAGCAGTTGGTATAATGGCTATGTCACTGGACTCCCATATGGTCTACCATGATTTGAGTCCTGAACCCAGTGGCTTAAATTCACAGCGGGTGTGTGTGCGCGCGTGTGCTTGAGATCCCAAGAGAATAAAGGAGAAGGGGTTGCAGCTTGGCCATCCTCCCTGGGGGGTGATTTCTTGCTTTCTGTCTCTCTGTCTCTCTGTCTCTTGGTCTTCTGGCAAGCCCACATGCCCTATAGCAAAAACCTCTCTTAAAATTTTTTTTTTCAAGTCAAAGTTTTCCAGGTTTTTTTTCTATTGCTTGTGTCTTTGGTGTTATACCCAAAAACTCATTGCCAAGTCCAATGTTGTGAAATTTTCACCATATATTTTCTTTTTTAAAAATTTTGCAGGAACCAGCAGTTAGCATAATGGCTATGTCGCTGGACTCCCATGTAGTCGACCGCGGTTCACGTCCCGGACACGGTGGCTTAAAACTCACACCGGGCGCGTGTGCGTGCGTGCCCAAGATCCCGAGAGGAGAATGGAGGAAAAGGGATTGCGGCGTGGACATCCTCCCTGGGGGGTGATTTCTTGCTTTCTGTCTCTAATGTCTCTCTCTGTCTGTCTGGTGAGCGCACGCACCCTGTAGTGAAAATCTCTCCAAAAAAAAATTTTGCCAGGAGACCAGCAGGTAGCGTGGTAGTTAAGTGCTGGACTCCCACATTGTCACCCAGGGTTTGAGTCCTGGACCTGGTGGCTTGAAACTCATGTTGGGTACATCTGCATGTACCCAAAATGCCAAGAGGAGAATGGAGAAGGGATTGCAGGGTGGCCATCCCCCCGGGGAGTGATTTCTCACTTTCCCTCTCACTGTCTCTTTCTGTCTTTTTGACAAGTGCACATGCCCTAAAGGAAAAATTTTAATTTGTTGTTGTTGTTGCCAGGGAGCCCATGTGCTCACCAGAGAGAAAAACAGAGAGAGAGAGGAAGAGGGAGAAAGCACCCCATAATGGTGATGGTCACCCTGCAATCCCTTCTCCTCTATTTCTCCATCTTGTTGGGATTTTGGGCATACACACGTGTTCCCTACATGTTTCTCAAACCACAGGATCTGGGATATGAGGTTAGCAATGTGGGATCTGGCTACCTTAACCAACAGACCACATAGTTGGTTCACAATATGTATTTTCTTTTAAAAGTTTTATTATTTTAGTTCTTTGCTCTTTTTAGAGACTTATTTAACTTTAGTTGTTATATTTTTATTTGACCAGAGAGAAACAGAGAAAGAGAAAGTGAAAACAAACCACCTGGCCAGGACTCAAACCGTGGTCAGCCATATGGGAGTCCAGTGCCCCAACCATCATGCCACCTGGTGGCCCTGATTCTTTGACCATTTTGAGTTACTTACACTGGTAAGTAAGGGCCAAATGTCTTTTTTGCATGGATATCCAATCTCCCCAGCATCATTTGTTGAAAAGATTGCCTTTTTTCCTTTGAATGGTCTTGTGCATATTTGTTGAAAATCACTTGACATGGGCAAGCCTGTGGCCGGATTCCACATGGCCGACTACAAAGTTCAAGTCCAGTTTAAGTCCGAACATGGAGGCTTGCAAAACATGCCAGACGTGTGTGTGTGTGTGTGTGTGTGTGTGTGTGTGGCAATTCTCTATTGGGGGTGCTTTCTCACTTTCCCCCTCTTTTGCTCTCTGTCTCCTTCTGCTGAGTGCACGCACCCTATGGCAATTAAAAGGAAAAAAAGAAAAGAAAAAAAAAAGAACTGGAAATGGTTATCTACATACGTACTAATGGAACACGATAGCTCTGGTGATTCAATCCCTTCTCCTCCATAATATACCTGGGATTTGGGACACACATGGTTGACCACGTGGAAGTCCAGCACTTAACTGCCATACTACCTGCTGGCCCCCTCACAAAATATTTTTATTAAAAAAAATATATGATGTGAGAACCAGCATGTTGCATGGTGGTTAAGGCTCTGGATACTCCCACATGGCCAACCACAGTTCGAGTCCCAGACATGGAGGCTTGCTTTCTCACTTTCCCTCTCTTTCTATGTCTCTCTATGGTCAAATTAAAATAAATGAACTAATAAATAAAATTTTAGAAAAAAGAAAATATATGGTGAAAACCTCACAACATTGGATTTGGCAATAAATTTTTTGGATATAACATGAAAGGCACAAGCAACAGAAGAAAAAAATAGACCAATTTGACTGGGAAAAAATTTTTTAAAGAATTATTTATTTAATTCCATTTGTTGTTATTATTATTATTTTTAATTTGACCAGACAGAGACCAAGAGAGAGAGAGAAGGGAAAGTAAGAAAGGAAGCCGCTAGGTCTAAGACTCAAACGTGGTTGGCTATGTGGGAATCCAGCACCTTGAACCACCAGGCCACCTGCCTGCCCCTTGACTTGAAAATTTTTTAAATGTATGCATCAAACAAAATAGTGTGATTTTCTTCTTTTTTATTTAGAGATTTTTGCCATAGGGCATGTGCCCTTGCCAGAGAGACAGAGAGAGAGAGAGATAGAAAGCAAGAAATCACCCCCTAAGGGGAATGGCCAGGCCAAAATTCCCTTTCCTCCATTCTCTCCTCAGGATCTTGGGCACATACGCACATTTGCCTGCTGTGAGTTTCAAGCTGTTGGGTCTGGGACTTGAACTGCAATCAACTACGTGGGAGTCCAGCAACGTAACCATTCCACCACCTGCTGGTCCCAAAATGGCATGATTTTCAAGTCATCAGGTCTAGGACTCGAACTTCAGTCAACTATATGGGAGTCCAGTACCTTAATCACCATGCCTTCTGCTAGCCCTATGTCTTTTTTAAAAATGAACAAATTAATCAATTATTTTTTTACTTGCCACAGGAGTGTGTGTTCTCCAGAGAGACAGGGGAGAGCATCCCCTCATGGGGCATGGTCATACTATAATCTCTTCTCCATATTTTCATCCTGCCATCCAGGCACAGGCACTGGTATGTTTTTCAAGCCACAGGTGGGACTCCAGCTACTGTGGGCTATATGGAATCTGGCTCCCTTGACCACTAGCAACCCCAATTAATTCATTTTTTTCCATGAGACAGAGAGACAAAGAGAGACGGGAGCAGCCCCAACAGGGTCTTCACCCTGCAATCCTACCCCCAGCCCCAGCCAACCGGGATCATTGCACATGTGGATGTCAGAGTGTATAGCCAAACCTCAGGGGGACAACCTAGGACCTTCCCACATGCCGCCACATAGCTGGGCATTGCGCTAGTGCTGGGCCACTGTTGGCCTAGACAGTATCTTGCATCAGATTCTATGCCAAAATGCCTCATTATGCAGAGGACTGACACAGAGATGTGCAAAGATGTGCAAAGGGGTTTTACATTACAGGCATGGAAGCCTGGTGTTATGAAACTCCCAGCTTATGTAGGACAGAAGGTAATGCTGCTCCTCCTCCCTAGGGGATGAAGAGAGTGGAGAGAGAGAGAACAAGCAAATGGCTCTGGGCTTATTATCTTTGAAAGGGAGGAGCTGGCTCTTGGAAAGTGCTCAGGAGAGGAAATGCTCTGTACTTTCCAAAGGATGTTTACCTTTCAAATATCTTTCAATCCAGGTGTCAGCAATTTGCTCAGGAAATCCTAACTGCACGGACTACTCCTTATTTCCGCCACACTGCCCTAGCCAGGCAGTATTCTCCTGTCTCATCTGCCTCTGAAGTTCTTTTCTTGGGAAGGGCAGGCAGGACTTCTGGGATGTTAGGATGAAGAAAGTCTAAGCACGATGGATTTCCCATTCAGCATTATCCGGCATATAGCAGGCATTCAGCTGAGTGAATGACCCAGACCCTTTAAGATTTTAATAAAGGTGAGACAGAGGGTTGGCTGGTCAAGAAGTCCTGAATGTCCTGATGGGGTTTCCCTCCAGTCAGGGCAATCTGAGCCATCCGTCATTTCCCCCAGGCCTTAACCAAAGATCCGGTCTCCTCGGAGCAGAGCCAGGGTTCCTGATATCCCCACTGCTAGGGGCGAACGCGCACAGATTGGGACCCCTCCAGAGTTCATTGAGTCCTCTCGAGGGCTAGGGCCTTCAGGGTTTAGAAAGGGATTCCCATCCAGTTTCAGGTTATCCACCTTGGGCAGTTCGTCCGGCCGCGGTGCCCTATTCAGCCGGTTGCAGCTCAGATCGAGCACGCTAAGTTTGTCGGGCAGTCCGTTAGGCACCTGCTCCAGCCCAGCGAATGACAGATTGAGGGAGTTCAGCGCGCTGGGCCAGACACACCCCGGAGTCAAGGGATCTGCGGCGGCGCGCAGCGAATTGTAGCTGAGGTCTAGGCGGACGGGCTGCACACCTGCGGTCGCGAGAGCGGTGCACACGCCATTGGGAGTCTCCATGCCGGTGTTGCGTATCGATAGATCTTGGAGGGCTGGGAACTTGTGGGGACAGAGAGTCGCGGTCAATCCGCGCTCGCCTAGTCCAGGATTGTCAGACAGGTCTAGGGTGGTGAGGGCCGGGAAGGCGCGGACCTGATCGCAGGAAAAGGCAAGTGAGTGTGCTTGGGCTATGTTCAGTACCTGGAGGCCCGGCTTGAGCCACTGCTGCAGCTTGGAGAGCCAGGCACCCCCTGTCGCCCACGACACGTTACGGAGACTCAAAGTGGTTACCGCTGGCCAAATGGCTTCCAGGGGCGGCAGCGGCATTGTGCCCGTAACCTCCAGGTCCTCAAGCGTCAGTTCCTTCAGGCGGGAGTAGCCTAGAACTCGCAGAACGCCCATCAACAGCTGAGCAGGAACCCGTGCAGCCCCCACCGTGAGCCGCTTTAAGCGCAAAGACCTGATCAGGTCACGGTACTTCTGCACGTCCGCGTCGACGTCTGCGTATTTGAGAAACTGCTCCAGGCTGCGACCACCTCCGCGGAGCTCCACTTCGACCGCAACCGTACACTGCAAGGCGCTGGACCAGTCAGGCTGCGGATCCGAGAAGTTGCACACGCAGCGCTCGTCGTCGTCGTCCAGTTCGCAAGGCTCCAGCGTGGTGGCAGAGACTTGCAGCAGTGGCAGTAGCAGCAGCAGCAAGCAGGAAGCACGCTCCTGGGAAGAGAGCAGGGATCAGGAAAGCCCCAGCTAATCCCTAGAGTTCCCCAGGGACCTCCCCAGTCAAGGCCGTGCACTTACCATGGCAGATAAGACCTTTAGAGGCCTCCGGGAAGGACTCTGGCTTCTTTCCTGTTTAACAGCACCCACTGGCTTCCAGGCTTCAAGTGCGTATCTGACCTAATTGTTTGGCAGCCTCTAAGAGTTTATGTAATCCTGGGATGTAACTCTGTACCCTCCTCTGTGAACCCTAGTCACCCCCCTACACACACACACACACACCTCTCTTCCTCCCAGCCGCCCCCTTCACTTCCCTTCTGGGAAATATTGCAATGAAGAATGTCTCAGGGAGAGGGGCCACGACAGGAAGTATCCCGCAGGGCATCTCATCCGGTGCTCGGTCCCCTATTTTGCCCTGATGACTCAGGAGCCTCGGGCAGTGCCAGATGACTCAGGCACCCAGGTTTGTCTGAGGGTTATGTAGAAAGACTAATCCTCAATGCCTTAGGCCCGTGTGCTCTGTCTCCACCCTCATTATCCCAGAGACTCCTCCCTAATCTTGGTCACTATTAACCTCCTGTCACCCAAATCCAAGCCCTTTGAATATCCTCAGATAATTAACTGGATGTTTTGTGGAAAATAATGTAAACTTTATCCGTTGATTCCAAGGGTGATATTAGCGGAAGAAAAGGAAGTTGGCCTAGTAACAACTTCTCTTCCCTTTTTTCCTTACTTGCTTTAAGTATTAACTTCTCTCTTCTATTTAGTTTTTCTTAGAGAGATTTTTACTATAAGGCATGTGAGCTCACCAGAGACAAAGAGATAGAAAGCAATAAATAACACCCCCGGGGGAGGGGGAGATGGCCATAATGCAATTCCCTCTCCTTCGTTCTCCTCTCTGGACTTTGGGCGTGCGCATGTGCGTGTGCACACACACATACACACAAGCACCCAGAGTGAGTTTTAAGCTGCCAGGTCCGTGGCTTGAACTGCAGTCAACTAGGTGGGAGTCCAGTAACATAACCATTATGCCATCTGCTGGTCCCCTCCCTCTCTTTTTAATTTGCCAGAGTGTGTGCTTGCCAGAGAGAGACAGGAGAAAGAGGGAGAGGGAGAGAGCATTCCCTAATACAGTGTGGTCACACCACAGTCCCTTTTTCATTGCTCCATCCTGTCAGGATTTGGGGCACACAGTGTGTTTTTCAAGCCAGCAAGGTCAAGTTTTGAACTGCATGCTGGTCTATGAACTGCATGTTGGTCCATGAAGCTCCTTGAACCACCAGGCCCCAGGGCAGCCCGGTAATATTCTTAAAAGTAGAGGGATTGCAGTATGGTCATCCCCTCCCCCCACCCCCAGGGGGTGATTTCTTGCTTCTGTATCTCTGTCTCTCTCTGTCTCTCCAGCAAGCTCATGTGCACTATACCAAAAAACCTCTCTCTTAAAAAAAAAAGGAAAGTTTGGGCTGGTAGGTGGCATGGTGGTTAAGAGCATTGGACTCCCACATGGCAACCCACGTTTCTAGTCCTGGACCTGGTGGCTTGCTTTCTGACTTTCTCTCTCTCTCTCACTCTGTCCTTCTCTGGTCAAATTAAAAATAATTAATTAATAAAATAAGTAAAGTTTTGTTTTTGTTATTTATTTATTTATTTTTTAATAAAATGTGCTCCTTTAAAAAAAAAGTAGAGGGAGTGGGAGCCAGCAGGTGGCATAGTGATTAAGTTACTAGGCTCCCACATGGACGACTGCAGTTCAAGTCCTGGACCTGGCAGCTTGCTTTCTCATTTTTTTCTTTCTCTCTCTCTCTCCATGAACAAACTGAAAAATAATGCATAAATGAATAAATCTTTTTTTAAAAAAAGTAGAAAGGGTGGGGGCCAGTAGGTGGTGCAGTGGTTAAGTCACTGGATTCATACATGGCTGACCGCTGCTCGAATCCCAAACCTGGTGACTTGAAACTCATGCCAGTCACGTGTGTGTGCACCCAAAATCCCAAGAAGAGAGTGGAGGGGAAGGGTTGAGGCATGACCATTTCCCCTAGGGAGTGATTTCTTACTTTCTGTATCTCTGTCTTTCTGGCTCTCCACCAAGCACCCTATAGCAAAAATCTTTCTTGAAAAAAAATTTTTTAAAGGTAGAGAGATCCATGGCCACAGGTGATGTGATGATTAAGGCACTAGACTCCCACTGTAGTTCAAGACTCAAATCTGGTGCCTTGAAAATTACACCAGGTATGTGTGCATACATGCCTAAAATCCCTGGAGAAGAATGGAGAAGGGACTGTGGTGTGGATTTCTCACTTTCCCTCTCACTGTCTCTCTGGCAAGTACATGCACCCTATAGCAAAAACCTTAACAAGAAAGAAAGAAAGAACATATATGAAGTAGAAGTACATGGGGCTAGCAGGTGGCATGGTGGTAAAGGGTGCTGGACTCCCACATGGTCAACTGCAGTTCAAGTCCCGGACCTGGCGGCTTGCTCTCTCTCTCTTTCTGTCCCTCTCTGGTCAAATTAAAATAAACAAATAGATAAATAAAGTTAATGCAATACTTAAAAAAAAAATAAGTAGAGATACATTGGCCAAGTGACCAAGTATCCATTTCTTCCCTGAAATCAGGAAGAATGTATTTCTTTCTTTTTTTTTTTTTGAGAGGTTTTTTTTTGCTATAGGGCGTGTGCGCTCGCCAGTCAGAGAGAGACAGAGAGACAGAAAGTGAGGAATCACCACCTAGGGGGAATGGCCACTTCACAATCCCTTCTCCATTCTCCTCTCAGGATCTTGGGCACGCACACACACGCGCCCAGCGCGAGTTTAAGCCACTGGGTCCGGGACTCGAACCACGGCCAACTACGTGGGAGTTCAGCAACATAGCGATTACACTAACTGCTGGTCCCAGGAAGAATGTATTTCTAGCACAGTTTTCCCACTTGCACTTCACTCTCCTGCATTCCTTCCCTTCAGTGCAATTCTGGTGTCCTGGGAAGAAAGGGAGGACCTATGCTGAACAAGGATTCATTAGTAACTCACTTTTTTTTTGCCAAGAAAAGAAAGTGGTATCCCAGAGGGTGGGGTTAACGACTGTGTATTTAAAACAGCCCTCACACATTCATACTTCTAGACTTCTGAGGAAAGAATCCCATAAAAAATATTTTAAAAATCACCTCGCCACCTCCTTTTCCTTGGGTGAGGTGGTTTGCCATAGAGTGCTTGCTGGAGCGAGGCAGAGAAGAGGGTGTGTGCTGCAATCCCTTCTCCTCCATTCTCCTCTCAGGATTTAGGGCACACACGCACATGCGTCCTGCGTGAGTTTCAAGCCAGGTCCAGGACTTGGACCTTCATTGGCAGTGTGGAAATCCAGCTTTTTAATCACCATGCCACCCGCTGGTCTCTCTTTAATCCAAGAGTAGCTGCACATCTGCCTCCAACCCAAATAAGGCTTCATCAGACCACACTGCCCCCTGTGTGTCCTGTTGGGCATGCCCTGATACCCTAAGCCATGCCCCAGGTCATCATGACCTCTTGGAGGACTGAGATATGAATATAGCTCAGTATGAAATATATGGAGCCTGAAGTCAGAAAGCCAGGTTTGGAATCCCAGCTCTACCACAGAGGGTCAATACTCAGGCCTCATTTCTAGCCAGAGCCTGGTGCACAGCAGGTGCTCAATAACTGGCTATCCAGGGGCAGAATAGATACCAGGGCCTGGAAAGATGCAGAGCACAGGAAGATAATCTGTAGATATTTAACTGATTGCTTTATAGAAGAGATTGCAGACTCATTGATTGACTGCAGGGGTAGAATTGAATTCAAGAGAAGGAAGTTGGTTTGAAGAACAATCCCTTTCCTGGATTTGTCCTTACTTATACTTTTTTTTTTTTTTAAGAATTATTTTAGGGACCTGCAGTTAGCGTAATGGCTATGTCGCTGTACTCCCACGTAGTTGACCACGGTTTGAGTCCCGTACCCGGTGGCTTGTACTCACGCCGGGTGTGTGTGCATGCGTGCCCAAGATCCTGAGAGGAGAATGGAGGAGAAGGGATTGTGAAGTGGCCATCCCCCCTGGGGGGTGATTTCTCGCTTTCTGTCTCTCTGTCTCTCTCTGTCTGTCTGGCGAGCACA